GCCCCGCGCAACGGCCCCCGCCCTGCGGCACTGGCGTAATGGCTTCCAGAATCGGCCCCTCTTCCTGCCACGCCTGATTGGCCCGGCCGCCTGCCCGTCACGCGAGTTTCCCGCCTCCCGCCTGCAATGTCGCATTATTATTGGTCAGCAGCCTTGCCCATCAGGCAGCCAAGAGGCGGCCCCGCCCCGCCGCTGGTCTCAGGGCACTGGGCCTGCGTGGGGCCGGTGAGGGGTTAGGCCTGCCCGTGGATTTCCTCGCTCCAATCCCATTGGGTGCTTCTCCTGTCCATCAACTCAGAGCGCGCACTGTTTTCCAACCTACCGGATGCGCTCGACGTCCGTCAAGCTCAAACTGCCTCCCGACTTTCGCTGTGATTGGAGATAATCGCTTTACCACCGCCTTCTCAGGATGTTCGGCCAATTGCGATTTGGCCCGTGCGCCTGCACCGCTCCCTGTGCAAGATTCAGAAACACCGCGGCGCTTCCTTCCGATTGGTGGAGGTGAGGGCGTCCCCGTGACGTCATGACCCGCAACTCCATGTGGGCGTCACGGGGCGTGGTCCAGGGCGTGTCGCCCGCTGTGATTGGCCGGCGCGTGGTGTCACGTGGCGGCTACGGCGCGTGGCGCGAAGGCGGAAGCGGCGCCATTTGCCGGTGTCGCGGGCGTGAGGGGTGGTTGGTGGCGGCTCGGCCATGCCGGGGGCGCGGCGCTCTCTCGCTTCCCCGGTTGTGAGCGGCGTTCTCTGCCCATGCGGATCCCCGCATGGATCTGCGGTGGAGAGCGGCGGCAGCGGCGGCGGGGGGAACGCGGGGTCCTGCGGGCGGTCGCTGTCCGAGGCCTCCGAGCAGGACCGCCGTCTTCGCGCCCTGTTCCAGAAGCTCGACGTGAATCGAGACGGGGCGCTCTGCATCCACGATCTGGCCGTGGGGCTGGGCCGCCTCGGGCTGCACCGCACCGAGCTGGATTTGCGGGTGAGCAGCGGCGGGCGGTGGGATCTGGCCCGGCGGGGCTGAACGGGCCCGCGTTCCGGGGCTGAGGGAGGGTTTGATCGCTCCCCTCGTCCCGTATCCGCTCCGGAGCCCTCTCCGTGCTCGTCTCGGGAGCAGGACGTGGCCTCTGGACACCTTCCAGCTGTGTCTCGCCGGGGCAGCGGTGGCACCTGTGCACGGTAGCACTGTGGCATCACCTGCGACCCTTTAGCGTCCTGTTCTGTTCCCCGAGCGAGAGCGGGGCTGTGGGATGCGACACGACCCCGCTCCTCAAGGGTCCTTGCCTCAAAGCCACCCTGCCGGCTTGTGCACTAGACCCGGAGGAATTAGCTTGCTTGCTACCTGTAGGCATGTACGGTATTAACTGTCCGTAATTACTAAGATTAAAACCTTAGTGTTTTGGACAGGAAAAAAAACAAACCATAAAGGACTCGGACAGGGCAGCTTGCATGCTGACTTACACTAATAGAAGGGCCTTTGGAAGCGATTCCTGCAGTCAGGGTAATTGTGCAGGTCCCATTCCATCACCGTGTTCCTCATATGAGTCTGGCAGCGTGTTGCTACTTATGTTTGCCCAGGATGGCTTATGCCAGACTTGTTTGTTTTATGAGTTTGAAAATATCTTAGAACGTAGGGAGGCTGCTGTACTGTAGTTTGCACGTGGAGTGTATAAAATATGCAGCTCTGGCTTTCTCTTTCAGTATTGGGAGCCTTTTGTACTCACAGTGCTCTGTGTGATGCTGTACACTGAGGGCTCCAAGGTTTAACATGATGCTGTCTATTTAATTATGTTTAGTGTTATTTACATGTCTATGATTAATGGGCTCATTGGTCCTCAGTGCTGCACAGCTTTTCCCTACCTAGTCACTTGTACTTTATGTGCAGGGCCATAAAAAAGCTGAGTATCATGTGAAGAGAAGAGATAAACACATGGGTGCAGCCAAGGATGTGCCACCACCTGAGTCCTACAGGAAGGAAGAAGAGTTTAAGAATAACTTCTGAGTCACTGAAGAGATACTTAATTCAAGTGACAGCTCCTATTCTCTCCCTGTTCTGGGAGTGGTGCCCCAGTTTCAGTGCTTTACTTGCGCAGTCTTTTTCAGAGTTTCCGGTTCCTTTCTAGCTTTGACTCTCCAGCATCTTAACTTCTAACATTCCTTTTTGGTTGGCATCTTCCTAACTGCTGTAAAATATGAGACTTCCTTGGCAGTGTGATCCTGTGAGTAGTTTAGTTGTGCTGTTTCTAAAGATAACATGAGTGCCATGGGGGTTTTCTGCTGGCTGCGTTTGGGTATGTAAATCCGATTTTACCACAAGTCACCTGTGCATGTCCTTTTGACACTGACCTGCTGCCACCTGTGGGGCCCAATCCTTGACCTCTAGCAAAAGTCCCTCATGACCCAGTATGTTCTGTGCTTACGCCTGCATGCCTGCCTCTGTTTGCATTCCCTTTTCTTTGCATGTAATTCAATCCAGCCTAACATTCCCTAGCCCAGGAGGAAGCACCTTAAAATAAACTGCGTTTTTACTTCCCAGCAGAGAGTTTCTTTGCTTGGCGCGCTGCGGGAGCGGCACAGAGGAACCGTTCTGCGGGGACTGGAACTCGCTGCCGGAGGGAAGCGCTGGCTGGATGCTGCTTAACAATCCTGTCTTTCTGCTGAAGCCCTTGTCTGTCAGTATTGTTCCTCAGCCCTTTCCTTACTCTGACTCCTCTTCCACATCAATAGTGTGAGGAGGGTGAAACCCTGGCACAGGGTACCCAGAGGAGCTGTGGATGCCCCATCCATGGAAGTGTTCAAAGCCAGGCTGGAAGGGGCACTGAGCAACTTGATGTAGTGGAAGGTGTCCCTGCCTGTGGCAGGGGGTTGGAACTGGGTGCTCTTTAAGATCCTTTCCAAGTCAAACCATTCTAGAGTTTGCAAAGCATTGTTAATGTGGTAGAGCATCCCATTCAGCAGGGTAAAAACCACTGAGAGTGAGGATGCAGGGTTCAAAACTCTCAAGTTCCAGTTAAAAATGTGGGAACAGCCCTCAGCTGGCTAGCAAACTTCCGTGTCATGCAATTTTTAGGGAAATCAAATAAACTTCCTGTTTCCAAGGCAGTTCTATTAATAAGTCAGTCTTTTTTCTGCTCCATCCTTAGCTAATTATGGCACCTCAATGCTTAACTAATGTGAGGTCACGCTCAAGGAAAGTGCTTCAGTGTCAAGATAGAAAACCTTTCTGATTTATCGAGCATGGTGTTTGGAGACCAATTTAGGCATAAATCACAAGGATTGCTTGTGATTAGTAAAATACTTGGTGCCTCTGGTGCACTTTAATTTTCCTTCCATGCAGCAGTACATTTGATACATTTGGGAGCAGATGGAGAAAACATTGGGCTCGTAAAGTGAGGTTATCTCCAATCTTAGCTGCGGGCTGCTAATCTCCCTGTGTCAGTAGGCTAAAAGTCCTTGTGGTAACAATAACTTTTGGGCTAAACTTGAAAAGAAAATGAGTAATATTTTGGCTCCTTCAATGCTTGAGAGTTATTGCTGAGATAAAACCCTTTGTGGCATTCTTGGAAAATTGCTGCCTTCTCTTTTAGAGGTGGCTTTCTGTGGTGGGGGAGAGAAGGGCTTGTACTCAGATGTCCTTTGAGGTGGAATTTGCTTATGTAAACGATGCTTGTTTTTTTTTGTCTTTTTTTTTTTTGTTTTAACCCATGTTGTTATCTTTAAACCAATTGACAAATACAGTGTGCCAAACCAGTGAGCCTTGTAACGAAATGCTTGTTTGCACTGGTCAGCATGAAGCAATCCACATACTTCACTCTGTTTGGGCAGTAAAATGATAACCATGTGAAGAATTTTTTAAAAGCCTTTCTTGTTCCACTGTGTGAAGGGATAGTCTTTTACTGCTTTTATTTCATCTACCTATGGGATGGTCAGTGTCCTGTTACTGTTGCTTTCTGACTTTATATAGACCTGTGGAGCTTGAAATATGCACTTAATGGAAATTTGCTGAAACAGAACCGTTTCCTACTTTGTATCTGGAGATGTCCTATTGCTGAAAGAATGTGTGATGGTAATATTTGTGTGTTTGCTAATATAACTGTTTTCCTACTGATCCTGATTAACTGCAGGGCTGGAGTGTCATTCCAAAACCAGCTCTGCTGCTGAAGTTCCAGACAGTCTGAACTGGTGGAATTAATCCCACCTGCTTAGAGACAGACTGAAGTGGTGAACTTTTTCTACAGCTGCCTCTTCTGTAGTGGTGCTGAGCATCTTCTGCTGGACCAGTTCACTTTAAGAAACAGAGCAAACATAACCCTTGTCTCTTTTCAGTCCCCAGTGTCCTCTTTGCCTCTCCTCTAACTAACAGAGATGTCCTCCTTGGTCTTGTGATACTTTTCCCTCTTAAGTTCATATATGTGACTGTGATTGCTCCCTTGGTATCAGCTTCCCCATGGAAAACTATATCAGCTCCCAGGCTACTGATATCTGCCTTCATCACATCTTCATTAGCCCCATATCTCCTCTTTGATCTTCAGGTCCTTGCTGTCCAAACTTCCCCCCAAGGTCTGTTTTTCACTTTTCCCATGTACTGAAGAAGCAAAGCTGTGCTGCTGCAGCTGGACTCTGCAGTGTTCTGTTTGCGTCAGGCCTTTCTTCTGAACAGCTCTGCATTTTAAGTGTGTCCCTGGACTCTTGCAGCTGTGTCCATGTCTGGGATAATAGATCAGTTAGCTCTTTCGCAAGTGACTCCATGGATGGATTGAGAAACTCTTTCTACCACAGCAGTTGCAATCATAAAGAAATTTAATCTTGTTTCTGATCAATACTTTATCTTCTGTCATGACGTCATTTAATTCTTCTTCTCAGGCTCTGTTTCTGTAACTGTTTTATTCTTCAGCACATTTGAATACTCTGTTTTATACTATTCACAATGTACTGCAATTCTTAGCAATGGTAAGGGGCAGAAGGAGCTGGGACTTTTTCCATTGTGATGCTTTCACCTGTTTTTCATTCACAGCCGTCTGAAATTGGAGGACCTGAGTCTTTATTGTGTTACAGAAGTCAGTTTATGATAAAAAGAGCAAAATTCTAATACTGTTCTGTAATTTGGACTGGAATATCTCTCTAGCTCTCATTTAGATCTCACAGTACGTCTCCAAACCTATATACATTTATGCATTATCACATTTTCATGGTTTATGTGTCCTGCATTCTGCTGGGGCACTTGTGGAGATTTTGTAATTCATCGTGAAGGGTTGAGCAACACAAAGTTGTATCAGACAAATATTGTTACAGTTTGATATTCCAGTTGATACCTTCCTTCTGCTGCCAACAACTTCTCATCCACCCATTTCCTTACTAATCCCAAAGGATTACCCTTTGTGAATACTTCAAGCCAGTTTGAGCAAGAGCAGAACTGTAGGTCAGTGATTTAATTGCAGACAAAACTGTCAAATCTCTGGTGAGTGGTTAGTTGGTATGAATTTGGGGTTTGTTACCTTCTCTGATTTAGGCTGAAGACGCAAATGAACTCTGTAATCAATCACATGAGTTCTTGACAGCTGCAGAAAAGGCTTTGAGAAGACAGGCCTTGGGTTTGGCACAAGGAAACTTCTGGGCACACTGTTGGTTATTAATAGCCTTGGCCAGCAGCCCCTACAGTGACAGCTTTGGGACAGGGAATGTCACCCCAGCCACCCCAGGCTGTC